CGGCGGGGATTTGAAGACTGTCATCCTGGGCCGAAATTTTGAGAAATGCCGAGAAGGAGGCCTGGAACGACGAGATGATCAGGGATTGTGCCGAGTGTTCCGCGGCGGTACGTACCGAGAAGGGAGCTGTATCAAATAGGTCTGCATCTAGAACGGGCGGCGTGTCTGGATACGCCTGAGAACGAGGCGTCACAGACTCGCACTCTGATTGTGGAGGAGAGGCGGGACAGTTGACCTGGACGAGTGAGACGATCGATATATGCTAGTAACGAGGCACTAGGTCCACTCTTACAGGAGGAGCATAAAGGGCCATAGACACGCGCGAGCTTGGAAGCGAGAAAGGCATCTCTGGATGAGAAAGACAAGGATGGACTGGCGGGAGTGACACAGGTTTGTTTGTGGTTGGATTGGAGTGCTCGGTGTCGAATGGATTCCATCGCGCTGTGGAGCCGTGAATTGACCCAAGACTCAACCAACACGACAAGGTATCCCGAGACACTGGCACTCGTACCGTTTCCCACCAAAGCCCGCTCTCTTGTTGTGAACAGCAGGTCCTACTGCAACAGCGGGATGCAGTGGCTCGGCGCCGGAAACTGAACTCAACTTAGTCATCACCGGACCAGGGCAGCCAGCACACCCGAATCAACTGGAGGCCATAGTCAGTATATACAGGAACGAACATCATCTGTATGTATGAGATTTCTAGAACTTTCGAGCACATTGTGTTCCTCCGTTGTCTTATGGATTCATGAACTAGATCAGATGAAAGCACGATCCATCGAATGTAACATAAGCCCGGGATTGAGGCAAGGGTCTGTTCTAGGTCGTGTTCATCGTCTTGAACGTCAAGGCTTGGGCGTCTATCTCCCAGGATGCACCTAGAAAAGCAGACATTTCCATTTCCTAGGGAGAACAGGCTGCCTCGCAGCCCCGCCCGCCGCCTTTTGACAAGGGTTGACGCGTTGACGCGCCACGTAGCGTTCTATAGGTGGGCCAGCGAGAGTCAAAGTGAAGGTGAAGCTGCAACTGAAAGAAGACAAAATGCTCAAACAACTCGAGGACACAGCACCATATTCCTTCGCTTAAGAATCAACAAGGTATGGAGAGCGGGCATGATATGGACAGTCACGGCGGACCAACGACAGGAAGAAAATCAGTATACATGAAAGCCCACTGCCACCAACGCATATTGAAGGCTGCGATGAAACCGGTATGGTTGATCCCAAACAGAAGTATGGAGAGGCCAGGCCAGCAAAGAATAGGAACACACATGCGTGGAGGGGCCCTGGTAATAGCTCTACTGCCCAGGGAAGACACCATTTCTCTTTAACCCTTCTGCAGAAAACGCACGAATCCGCGCGCACTTGTGAAGGCAGTACCTCGCTCCAGTTACTCGGATATATTGACGCGCTCATTGTTGCAGTAATGTCGCTATAAGTGCGCATGTGAGAGGGAAAGGGAAGAACGAGTCCAGTTGAACTGCCAGGGGGCGTGACTTGGTATAGGTGTGCAAGATCGAAAGCAGAAGCGAACTGCCCTAAGAACTTGGTCGGAGGTTCTGATAGGCGACAAGGAGGAATCCAGCGACCATGGGCAGAAACAGAGGGAGAAAAGGACAGGTGTTCCCTTCCATACGAAGACGAGGATATCATCTGCGTCTCTTTTCCGGCTGTCAGTCATCTTCTTGTCTTCTTCTTCAGCTGCCTTCAAATAGGAAAAGAGTGCCCCTCATCCATCGGAAAACCAGAGTATTTATCAGGGTGAGGGGCAGTCGAACGAGAGTGCATACCTGAGATAGCGCCTGCTTGGGACATCCCAACGAGTCCAGGTGGTGATGGTATATTAAGGCCCAATTCGATGTTGCAGGTGAGACTTCGCTGCAACTCGGGACCAGAATGTAATGTAACCAATTCAAATATTGAATGGTCCAAGCGGTAAGCGGACAAGCGGAGGCCGGAAGTTGCGAAAGTCGGACCGCTTACCGCATACACCAGTAAGTTACGTCGCGAGTCCCGAGCTTCACGTACGTCCGCGACACCGTTGCGTGGCTCGACATTGATAACGGTCTATTTTCACTTGTATGCTATTCTTAACTGTAACCCGGAACGTCGCCAGTCTTTGCCGCCCAAGGCAATGTAACGCGAGAAACCGAAAAAAAAGTAACAACCAGCGCGCGTACTTTCCTACCCTCCCTCGCAGCCCACCCACTTTATTTCTACAACTTGACCTTTCCTCCCCTGAGTGAGCGGTGCACAACGTCATCGTCATATTCCGTTGCGCGATCCCTTCCGGGACTCGAACGCCTCGGGGACGCGTGTTGACACCCCTGCCCGATCCCCGGGCGTCAAGACTGAAGCCCTGCGGTGGGCGGCAAGCTCAGCGTAGATGTTCATAGAAATAGGGGCACACGAACTTGAGGAAAATGACGCTGTGATGATCGTTCTGCTACACTGGTCAGTTGGCTGACGGTTGTCCGGCCCAATGAAGGGCCCAACCGCCCAAGACGAACGCGGTCGAACGCACGTCGGCCCCTACATCACAAACGGAAAGGGCGACCCACCGTTTGCGTAGCAAGGAGGTCGCATACATCGACTTCCTTGGCACGGCGCACTGGCGCTGCCAAACAATTGATCGGTGTAGTTTCTGGGCATTACGTTGTTCTTAGCATATGCTTAGACAGAACAATAACCTGAGTGGCATCCGACTGGCATGATTGCTAAAATAGGTTTAGTGAAAACCGATGGGAAATTGGATTGGAGGATTGGCCCGGGGAGGCCATGGCGGCCAACGGGTTCGACAACTTGTGGGACGGCTTGGGGGAAACGGCTACTTGCCACTGACGCTGGATGCACAATGGGTCCTCACATGTACGTCCGGAGACCAACTGTCCCCATTTCTGAAGCAATCTGACATGGTCATACCTGGAGACTCGGACGCATTCGCCGTCTAGTCTCCTTGCCATTTTACAGTGTTGTCCGATGTCTATTTCCTAGGGAACAAGATCAATGTAGGTCTCTCGTGCAATATCCGCTTCAACAGCTTACCGATCGAGCATAGGCCGGGTAACAATTGGCACCCTGCCCGACGACGTCCTCTTAAGAATATTCGATTTTTATGTGAATGAAGCCAAGCGGACAGAAGCGTGGCACGTACTGGTGCATGTGTGCCGAGCATGGCGAACCGTCGTTTATGCATCGCCGCGCCGTCTGCGTCTGCAACTTCTCTGCACGGACCGAAGCCCTGTGAGGGAGATGTTGGACGTCTGGCCCGCTTTGCCCATCATCGTATCCCCCCGTGGCGGCCTCCCGGCGCTCGCCGAGGGCGAGGATAACATCATTACCGCACTCTGGTACCACGACCGCGCATGCGAAATCACCCTCTGGAGCGTCCCAAGTTTGCTATTGGAGAGATTCGCGGCGGCGATGCAGGATCCGTTTCCGGCGCTGACTCGTCTGGAGCTCTGCTCGAGCGATAGACCGGCGCCCGTCCTGCCCAATTCGTTCTTGGGTGGGTCTGCGCCGCGCCTACGGAAACTCTACTTGAACAACGTCCCGTTTCCGGCGGTATGGAAACTGCATTTGCCTGACCTCGTCCACCTCCACCTTTGGGACATCCCTCTTCCCGGTTACGTTTCGCCCGAGGCGATGGCCGCTTGCCTTTCCGCCATGACCGGGCTCGAGTCGCTTCGGCTTGGATTCCGCCATTCAGAATTTCGCCCTGATCCAACAAGCCCACGTCTGCCTCCGCCGACACGCATCGTCCTCCCAAATCTCACTCGATTTCGCTTCAAAGGCGCCTGTGAGTATTTGGAGGATCTCGTGGCACGGATAGACGCCCCCCTGCTCCACATCGCCCGGATAATCTTCTTTGATCAATCCATCTTTACCATTTCGCAACTTCCCCTGTTCATCGGCCGCACAGGAATGTTTGAGGAACTCAGTCAGGCGGACATAGCCCTTCACTACGACTTTGCCCAGGTCACACTTTCTCCGCAAAATGGGACAGCGGATCGCGCGATGCTCGCTTTGGAGGTCTTGTGCATAACACCACGCGGGCAGATCTCGTCCCTGGTGCAGGTCTGCTCGTCGTTGCCCCTCCTCTCCAATTTCGACCGTCTCGATATCCGCGAGAATCGTTATCGGCGACCGCTTTGGCAAGACGACATGGACAATTCCCGGTGGCTGGATGTTCTACGTCCGTTTGCTGCTGTCGAGGGTCTATATCTGACCCAGGAACTGGCGCTACGTCTCGCGCCTAGCCTGCGAGAGCTCGCTGGGCCAAGCGTGACAAATGTGCTACCCGCATGCGAAATCTCTTTGTAAAGGGGCCTCAGCCGTGGGCGCCTGTTGAGGAAGCCATCGGGCCGTTCATCGCTGCTCGGCGAGTCTCTGGTCACCCTGTAGCTATTCGTTATACTGAAATAGATCGGGAGGATGACGATTAACCATTTCTCCACTTTTCATGCGCTCACGTTCTGTGATACTAGTACCAACTTACGTTAATAACCCCTGAGACACCAGCTACGGTACTCTTGTTAGTGTCATCGCGATCTGATCCCATTGCATGAAGTATTGACCTTGTCACTCGGCGTTGCGGGAAAGCCATTTGAAACGTTCCATAAAGCACGAAGAGGGATCAGATCGATCCCGACAGCAGGAAGTCTCTCGTACGCGAGGAACACTATTGATTAACCACTGTAGGACACCGACTGGTGGCACAGGCTGGTTCATCGGACCAGATGTAAATCGATATTCTGGCTGTGTTGGTGTCGTGATTGCACTCCCATATCCAGCCAACAGTGATGGTGACCACAGTCAGTGAAAGGCGTCCGCCACTTACATGACGTGTCCAACACGCGCGACTTGTTGGCCCGTACATGTCAGTCACTAGCGTCATTCAAAAAATATCGTCGTGGTGCCTTGGGGAGAACCATCGAGCGACAAGGCCTACCCGGCACGGCACCTGCGCTGAACACACGTACTAAGCTTTGGGGGTAAAAATGCCAGGACCGTGGATTGAACACGGGACCTCCAGAATACTTGTGCACGCTGCGCTTCAGTCTGTTGCTCTCCCAGCTGAGCTACCCCGGCCATGATGCTGGGAACATTTGATCAAAACAGTATCGGCAGTGCCTCTCGAACCCGCCCTCAGTCAGTCCTCAGTCCTGCCAGTGCTGTCCCTTTGCATGAACTTCGGGTTGCCATGGCTTCCCTTTGTTCCTTTGACCCGGGCTCTCTTTCGCTTGCCTTAGCTCTCTTGGGTGGCATGCAGATAGTACTGTTCCCAAAGGCAAACGTGAGCCGAGCTGGTACTGCCCCAAGCATCGAACTCGACGAATCGACGACGATGCAGAGAAATAAACTTGAAAATAAATACAACGAATGGATCACCGATGTCTCCGAAAGTCGGTCACGCGAGAGGGAGGTCAAACCAGATCAGATCAGATCTTGGCGACTGAGTTCAAAATGTGTGCTCATGGAGATGGAAAAAATGGATGGAGGAATCCCGTGTTCTCCCGTCGCCTGCCTCTTGAAGTTGAGCTTGACTTGAATTACGGGGGCCTAAACCACGCCTGATGATGCCGAATATGATATTTAGGCTATAATGTGTCTCATGACTGGTGTACGGGGCGATAGGCACGAATGTTGGCGTCCTTTGTTGTCCTTCTCGGGAAGGCACAGCCGCACAGTGCAAGCAACTCCAAAGCGGGTACTGAGAGAGCGATGCGTGGGGAGGCGGGGATTACTATATAGGTGAATAGGCCACCAATGCTAGTGATCCGAAGAGTTTTCTTTGGACTGGGTGCAACTGGATGTTGGTGATAACTGTTCAGGTGTTCAGGACGTTCAGGTTTTAGATACTGGCAATTGGATAGCTAGAAATCATTGCGATCACGAACTTTTCACACAGGGCAAACAGGAGTATGTGGGATTGCTCGTGAGTTTTGAGTTTGAGTGGATCACGCAAACATGAGTGCATGAGTTGCGGTCCCAAACTAGCGCGGTTCAACTAAGTTGGCACTAGCGGGCGAGATTCTACGAGTTCGAGCGCTGCGATTTACAAACAGTCCAGGTTATTGATATTCCCCTTGGGACAGCAATGCGGATTCACGACTGTTGCCATTGCAGACTCTTTCCGGGAAATGATAGAAAGAAACGAGATGTGATTGACCACGCTCCGGTTCGATGAAACTAGGTATATTGGTCGCTGTGATGAATGAGCGTATTCATTACAGCGAACACAACAAAAGGACCTTCAAAGCAACACCTTGGTAAAGTCAATACACATTCGCTTGACGTTCCGCTCCTGCGCGACAGCCTCGACCATTTCTCGCGAGATCGCAATCGTCATCCCGTCGCCGTCGCCTTCCCTGCGAACGAGCAGCCCGCATTCGTTCAGGGCAAAGGCGGCATCCTCGATGCGCAAGTTGGTCGCACACGCGAGGTCTGCGAGCGTACACCGCACCACCACGTGCACCGCGGCGCTCCCGTCGGGCGCATGCACCGTCTCGTACGTTCTCACGAGTTGCATGTATGCTGCAGGCCCCGACGGGCCGAAGCCAAAGCTGTCGCGCGTTGCGGGCGACGCGCTGCCACAGCCCTCTGGCGAGCTCGGTACTGCAGACTCGCCATCCCAGCCTTTGGCACGCTTCGTGCGTTTCTGCGGGGATGTCATCACATCCATGTCTGCGCGGATATGAGAGAGGTCGGGTAGGTGGCCCGCGGTCTTGATTAGAGGCAAATCGGGCGGAAGGGTTGAGAGAAGTTGGCTAGTTGTAGGCGAGAGTAAGGGCGAGGCGGGCAACGAGGTGGATGGGAACTTGAGCTCGTACCGGAGGAAGCGGATGATGGTAGATACCCAGTAGGCTAGGTAACTGCGCAGACCGAGATCAGAGAGGGGACGCTCGGGGGTTCCAATACGACCTGCGCGGCGGGAAAGCTCGTAACCTATCGGATATGTAGGCCAAGATCATGGAGAAGAAGAGACGTTGGCTTACTGAACTCGATCAAGAGCATGCCATAACCTTTCTTCTGATACGGAGGAAGGATCACGATGCACGCGAGGTTGTAGTCGTCATAGGATATTTTTTCCTGTTGAAAAGTCGTGATAGATATGGAACTCGAATAAACGAGGTCAATCAGTTACCTTTGAAAAGAAACCAAGAACATGATCTCGTTGGGAGTCGGCATCCGTAAAGATATAAAAAAGGACTGCTCAGGTGCATAAGTAACGTGTTGCGTCGACGACGATGCAAAGCATTCACAGTTATCGCAGTCAAAAAACAGCGTCTTGATGTCGATAAATAGCTTTCCAAATAGTGACAGATTCTGGCAATACAGCTGCTCTCTTGGCATAAGAAATGAAAAATGACGACCGGATGGCGACCAGCGCAGGCGCACCTTTTCCTTCGCGCCGTCCACCTCCCAAATCGTGTGCGCACCTCGCTGGTACACTTTCCTACCGGGTGGGTGCTTACGCGTACACCTCCTCTGAGAGCACGCACACGCGCGGCGCAAGTACGTCACCTCCACGCCCTGGGCAAGAGGAGAGCGAAACCCACCGTGTGTACCTCCCACGATGTGCCATCGGTCATGTACTTGAAGCACCGATCGCACACCCAAAGGACGCCGCCCGCATTATCGCGGTTGACCGCGCCCGCGAAGAGATCCATCGTACGTCCGTGTCCGAGAGCATCCTCGCCTTCTCCGTCCGTGAGCGGGTAGGGAGAGAAGTACCTGGGGCAGAGGGGAGAGACGCATGATCATGTGAGCCCCAAAGACCCCCTCCGAGGCAGGGCGAGGAAACGAGGAACGAAAGCACCGCACCCACCAGGTTTTGATCTGCCACGGCCCAAAGTTGACCTTGTCAAAGTTACGCCGGGCGGAGGCCATCGTTGGTAGGGTTGCGGGGGGTTGCGTCGTGTCCGGAACATCACCATCATGTACTTTTGCAGGCGACAGCGAGCGTCGTCTCTTGCGTGTGCTCGTACCGTTCACGCGAGGCAGTGGCGTCGCATCACAGACAGGGGATGTAGAAGTTCGTGGTGGTGTAGTTGCACGGAGTGAATCTGCAGGGACCCATTCGTCGAGGCGCTTGTCTGTGCCGAGGTAGTGCACAAAGACTTTGCCTGGGCGTCGGTCGAGAACGTGGGCTTTTCCTATCCATGTTTTTGCTCAAAAATGTTCGATTATTTCGGCAAACATTGACCTACGGTCGGTTCCATCTTTGAGGACGTAGTGCATCACAGCAGGGTTCATGACCACAACATGGCAAGTGCGAGCGACTTAATTGGGCCGTGCCATTCCGGCCACATTCAGAACAAACAACGCTAAACGCTCGTCGCCATCGACCAGTCATCGACCACGACAGCCTCGTACACACAGAAATACATGCGAGCATGGCAGTGACTTGGAGTAAATTCATGTGGCATGTATGCAGCGTGGTGCAGGCGTAAAGTAGTGACAAGTCAGGGGAGGGGGAGAAGACAAGATACCAATAACATCTCATGCTTTGGCCCCTTCGTGCTCCACTGCAAGAATAGCCTCCCTCTTCTCTGCGATACGCGCAGCGCGGCGCTCCCGAACCGCCTGTGACACGAATAGGACATTGATCAATATCAAGGAAAGTTGGGTGTGACGGAAAGACAATCGCACCTTATTCTTGATGCGGCGGGCCTCCATCTGGTCCGCGAGGACTTTTGTGCGGGACTTCTCCGCCTTCGCCTTATGAATATACTCCATCAATACACGTTTGTTCTTGAAAACATTGCCCTTGGACTTTTGGTAGAGGGAGTGATAACTTTCGATAGGATGGCAAGATCAAACTTACGAGTCGCGTGATAGAGCGAAAAACTCACAGGTGCTTGTCAATCTTTCCCGCCTCACGATATTTTCGGAGTAATCTCCGAAGGACACGCTGCCGTCTCATCCAGAGGACCTTGGTTGGCATACGAGCTTCTGCAGTACCCTTCCGCTTTCCCACGCCGGTATGACGACCCTTACGCTTGGCGGCGAGGAGATCGAGGGTGCGAGCACGAGAGTGCACGGTTGTAGGTTTGATGATGATACGACCATCCTTGATGAGCTTCTTTACGTGCGTCCGCGAGTTGGCATTGCCAATCTCTGACTGTTCATTGGGATCGAGCCAGATTTTACGCTTGCCAACGCCAGCGACAGATGAGGCAAGCCGCTTTTGTGAGCGAAGGTTGACCATGATCGGGTTTCTCTGCTGATTTCTGAGTATTCACGAAGGGGATAAGAGCAGATGATCAATGCTGCCTGACCTTGTTCTTGAATGTAGGACGGGTCGTCGTCGGTCGGTTGTTGACCCACCCAGTTGCCACAGCTGTGGCTCATGAACCTTAATGCGTAGAACTGTCAAGTACATTCACACGCATGCATGTGTCGGCCCGTGAACCGCATCCGGCTGTCTCTTTTCAGTCTAGTCTATCGCTCGCTCGGCATTACATCGAGATCGGCGAAAGGCGAAAAGGACTCTCATCATTTGCAAATACTTACAATCTTGCCGTGTGATGCGACGCGTGTGAATGTCAGCGATATCCAATAAGACAAAAATTAATTAAAAAACATTTGTTTCCATTAAAAGTGGAGTTTACGCACTGCCTGGTAGCCTTGGCATCGTAATTATTTGTAGGAAAAACAGTCGGAGTGATCACGATTATATAATACGGGCACCGGGTGTAGAACTAAAAATAATTTGCGTATTTATCAGCGGGAGGGGTTCATGGGAAGGGAGGCCATTGCTCTGTTGGCTTTCTCCCTTTGGCACACCGTGTCAACTGTGGCTCAGAGGCACCCAGAGAAAGGAGGATTCACCTACAATTCCCGTTCCCTTTGCCAGATCTTGTTATCAATCCAGACAAACATTAAAGTTTTTCGCCCACTCTATTTGAATCATCTACACCTTCCGCCATGACCGCTCAATAAACACCACCCTCAACGCTCCATCATCTCTTCTCTCTTGACTTGACGACTCCTCTCGCATCCAATACCCTCGGGCTTTAAATCCTACTCAGCGTTCTCCCATCAACAGTTTCCCTCTCCACCTCCCTCTCCTCACAATGACTCCC